GCCATGGTGGCCCACACTGGTTCACCCCACACCCACACCATGGCCCACACCATCACTCACACTACAGGTCAGCCATGCCTACACCATGTCTATACCAAGGCTCACGCCATGGCAGCCCACACTGTGGTTCACCCCATGCCCACTCCATGGCTCTCCACACAGCCAAAGACAGTCCCTGATCTCTCCCATCTTGGCAGTGGCCTCATAGTGCGACCCTCTGCCTTTAAGCACTACACATGGTGCCCCCAGTCTTCCATGTACTTTTCTTAAACATATTTTTCTGTGATCAGCATCTCCAAGTCTGAGAAAGGCAGGATGAAAGAGACTGGAGGTAGCTCCAAAGGAGCTTTTACCAAAAAAAAAAAAAAAAAAAACAAAAAAAACCTAACTTCTTGTTGGTCTCTCGGTGGCACGGTACTGGGAAAGCGGATACTTAGTTGAAACAGAATCCACGGCCAGCACCTGTAAACACTCAGTCTTGTTGTGCTGTACACTTCTCCCCTAGTGGGAAGCACCAGCTGATTTTATGGAGAGGGGAGCCTGGGTTTTCAGACTTGCACAGCCTCGGAAGGCCACCCCATACCCACAGTCCAGGGTGGACCACGGGGCTCATGCTGTAGGATGCTACTCTTTTTAAAAAGAGACTCTGATATGTTCAGTCTCAAGGCTGAAAAGAAGGGGGAGATGCCAGAATTGGACAATGTTTAGTTGGTCTTCCTGATTTACCCAAAGCTCACTCGTGAGGCAGTGTAGGAGTGTTCAGAGGGGAAATGACTGATTATGAGAGTCGTAACAAAAAGTGGATTAATCCACTGGATGGTAGAGGTCGGTCACTGGGAGCATGGTTTTGGGTGTACTTTTTGTCCCTGGTGAGTGGCATTCTCTCTACTTCCTGGATGTCGCGTCCTGAGCTGCTTTCCTTTGTCACGCCCTTCCTCCATGAAGTTCTGCTTCCCCTCCGATCCAGACTGAGACCTCTAAAACTGGGGGCCCAACAGCCTCTTCTCCTCTATGTCATCCTGATCAAGTATTTTGGTCACAGTGACAACAGCCTAAAACAGGAACTGGGACCAGAAGCGGGCTGCTGCGGTAACTAACCCGGCCGTGTGGCCCAGAAGCACTGGGAACTAGTCTGAGAGAGGAGCTGGGGAAGGTTGGAGATTCGGGCTGGAGAAGACTTGGAGAGACCGACAGGAATCCTGGTGGGCGCTCAGAAGACTAGGATGCTGATAGGCTGCAGACTAGGGGAGGACCGGTCTCCTGAGGTTGGAAATTGGACCAGAGGCCATTTGTGTTATATTACAGCAAAGAAGTTGTCCACATTTACCCCATTTTCTGGGCCTTTCTGAATTCTAAGGCGATGGGCTAATTAATCTGGCAGAGGACAGTTCAAGGCAGCCCATCACTCAGGCAGCAGTGTGGACATTGCCAGTGGCTTTTAGCCAAGTCACCGTGATAATCAAGAGCAGAAAGATTGGAAAACTGATAGTTTGGCCAGAAAAATGGGTATAAGACTGGGGCCAAGGAAAGAGTTGTTGTTGACACAATTACAGCCACTGAAGAGATCTAGTGCTTTACACAGTGACAATCGGAAGAATGGCTTGAGGGCACCTCAGAAATTGGCAAGACCATACCTATCTCAGGCTCAAGGGTATATGTTACCATTAATGGACTGAGACTTCTGAGTGAAAAAAACCAAAATGTAAAAAATTCCTTTGAGAAGAGACCATAGGGGTGTTATAGTTAAAGCTTCGTCCCAGGGTTTCATAAACGGACTTCCAGACCACTCACGCATAATCCAATCAAGCCTTTATTGAATCACACGGGTGGCGGCTGACCAGAACATAAAGCTGTTCCCCTGATCAGCCCCGAACAATTGCAAGGGCACTCCTTATAAACCGAAAACCACAAAAGGGATGTTTGGGGGTTCTAGCCAATGCAAGCCAGCCAGGTTACAGAAGCGGGACAGTGCAGTCAAGCGGAGGGAAGCCTAACCAATCACAGTTAGCCCAGTCACCCCAGTTACAGAAACAGAGCCCCGTTACCCTAGTTACAGAAACAATGCCCCATCAGGTAGTTCCGTGTTCTTAAGGGTTTCTATAGCAAATGGAAAAGAACATCTTGCCCCAGTCATGACTCTTCTACTTGACATGGTTGTGTCACAGGATGAAGTCATAAAACAAAATGGAGTCACTTTTGTTTTTACTATCACAGGGGTGCTCTTCTTACAGAGGGGGACCAGGAAGTTCTTTCCTTATGCTTAGCCCCCAGACACTCAGAGGCGGCTGCAACCAGGGTCCCTGGAGGCTTGACTCCTGCTAAAGATGGCCATGCACCTTCACGCCCACCACATGGAGTCGGTTCTTCAGCAATGCAGGATGCTGGTTCAGGGGATCCTGGAGACTTCCACTGAGATTTTGAAGGATGGCCCAGGAGACCAGGGGTAGCAGGGCCAGAGTCCTTGTGGGCTGCCCCTGAGAGGGCAATGTGTGGAGATGTCCAAAGGAAGCTATGGTGGACACCACTGAGCCTAACCAATGCCAGTGACAGGGAACGCCAAGTAGGGACAAGTCAGGAGAGTCACCCAGGCACAACCAGCGAGGCCACAGGAACAGAGCCTCACAGCCCTTTGGAGAAACCTCACAGTGCCATGTGCCCAGATGCTGGGTGGGGCTACAGGAGCTGTTTGTCCAGCTGGATTTGGTCTTGTTTCTATCCCATTCCTTCCTTCTATGCCCCCTTTTCCTTGTGGAATGGAAATGTTCCTTCTGTGCCATTATATATCAGATATATGTGAGTTACATATTAGGTATATGTGAGTGACATATGAGATATATGTGAGTGACAGATAGATATATAAGTTACATATTAGATATATGTGAGTGACATATTAGATATATGTGAGTTTCATATTAGATATATGTGAGTGACATATTAGGTATATGTGAGTTTCATATTAGATATATGTGAGTGACATATTAGGTATATGTGAGTGACATATTAGATATATGTAACGTGCTTTTGATATTCATGGGGGAAACATCCATGAGTTTGCCTTGAGTCTCAGAGAGACTTTGGATTTAGATTTGGGGGCAATGCTGGACCTGTTGAGACCAGGGGGGCTCTTGGAAATGGACAAGTACATTTTGCATTGTGAGATGGGCATGAACTTTGGGGGCCAGTTTGGATATGAGGTGTCCCTGGGAAAGCCCAAGAGTGGGAAAATGCAATGCGTTCAGAGGTGACGTGAGCAGATGCGTGCCTGCTGTACCTGGTGAGCCGGTCACTTGAACAGATGAAGCAGGTGCCAGGGCAGGCAGGTGAGGCTGGCTGAAGGAAAGAAGTCTCAGGGGCGTGGATTTGGTTCTTATTTTTCCCTGATGAGAGGCGCTCTCTCTGCTTCTGGCTGTCATGTCCTAAATTGCTTCCCCACCACCCCTTTCTGCTGAGCTGTTCTGCCCCGCCAGCCAGCGTGGACCGACGTCTGACCCTGTGAGCCCTAGAGACAGCCCTTCCTCTATGTTGTTCTTGGCGGGGATTTTGGTCACAGTGACGGAAAGCTGACTGAACACTTGGCCTATTTCTTGGAAACAGAAATAGAAGCATGGGGTGGGGGGTTGCTGGGAATGAAGCCCAGGACATGAGCTACATCCAGCGAGAGAAGCATTCCTAACTGTGCTTACTGCAGTGTTGACAGATCCTGTTTCTGGACCTCCCCTGTATACTCCCATACCACACACACAACACACATGCACACACCACATATATACCACACTCTCTCACATAAACACACTTTGCTTAAGATACTAGCTAACACCATTGAACACCTTTTGGAAACATGAGTACAAACTGTGAAGACTGAATTTTTCAACGAGCACAACAGAGTCATCAATTCCGTATGTCTCTCATCAAAGAAGTAGCCCTGAAAGGGCCCTTGATTTTGTCAATGCTGCTCTGTTCACAGACCTGGAGCCCACAGCCCAGGCCACTGCCCTCAGCACACAGAGCAGCTGACCTCCACCTGGAAAGCGTCCTCGAATCCCTCCCTGACGAAGTCTTCTGATTTCAAAGCTGGAGAAAAAGATGGGTAAGCAGCTGGATTCTTCCTCCCTCCCTCCCACCTTCCCCATCATAACCCGCTTCACTGAAAGTACAATGTCCATCAAATGCACTTCTTTGGATCAGCCTAGAACACGCAGACATTCTGTGTCCACCCAGGAAGGCACCTGTGTCACCGTGCGGTCACTTTGCCTGGATGATGCTAACACCATCAGAGAAGCAGATCGTGTGTCCTGGTGGAGTTGGACGGCATGCTGCCTCAGGCCTCTGGGAGGTGTGCTCTTCCCCAGAGATGCCACACCTCTTCCCACGTCTCCAGGTCACGACAAGATGCTGTGTTCCGTAGTCAGGCACAATTTGCTCAAAAATGACCCTGTTTTCCATCTCTGAACCTCAGATCAAAACATCAAATCTGCATTTTTCGTTTACCTTTCAAAGAGTAAGGGCATAATCTTCACATTCGTATTGTTTTTGCTAGTGGGCTTTTAAAACTCACGTTATCACAATTGACCACTTACATGACTGGCCCAGCCTCTGCCTCTGAAGCGTGTCCAGTGGACCCAGGGTGCTCACATGCTGGCCTGGGGAGCCCTGCTGCAGAGGGCTCTTTCATCCCAGAGCTGCTCAGGTCGGAAGACATCAGGGCATTAAGCTTCTTTTAACCCTCTGGAATCTACCTGACTATAAGAGTGTTGCATCTGTTTTTTGTAAGTAATTTCACTCACTTTTTAGGCCAAGGGGATTCACCATGGTTGTGGGTCTAAATGACCATTTACCCTCAATGCTTCGACAGGGGCTGGGGCTGTTGTCCAGTGAATGGCAGAGAGTGCCTGCCTAGTGAGTGTGAGGCTCTGGGTTCAAACCCAGGACAGACAATCAGAAAGAGTTCTGATGTGTAACTGTGAACTGTGTGATTTTAAACATGTCATTGGCGACGTAATATGTTGGTGAATAGAGAAAAGGTGCGGTGGGGAAGAGATGGGTTTGCTCTCTTAGGGCACCTGCTGGAGAAGTGCTACCCAGCCAGGCTGGGGTGGGAGGGGGAGCAGTTGGAGTGTCAGGTACCGTCCTTCTTTGAAGCTTCTGCTAGCTCTGACCCCTGGGCCCACTCCTCTAACACTCTTTCGATGATCAATTCTTAGGAACGAAACCCTTCTTTTAAGACAGAAGATGAAACTCCAGGGGCCACCCTGAAGCCACTGGTGTTCCATGTGGACGAGACCACCCCAGAAGTAGTGCAGAACGTCCTGCTGGAGCACAGTGGGTGGGGATTTGACGAGCAGGAGCAGAATGTTGAAGACTGGAATCTGTACTGGAGGACTTCCTCTTTTCGAATGATTGCGCACTCAATGTCAAGCCATGGCAGCAACTCAGCCTCCACCCAGGGATGACCAAGCTCACCAGGAAGGACTGTCTGGCCAAGCACCTGCAGCACATGCAGAGGATGTATGGCACCACCCTCTACGAGTTCATGCCCCAGACGTTGTCATGCCCAACGACTACACCAAGTCAGAGTGAGTACTTCAAGGAGAAGCAAATGCTGGACACCAAGCACGGCCATTGGATATGCAAGCCCCAGAACCATCTCGTGGGAGGGGGATAATAATTGTCAGTGACATTAAAGACCTAATCTTTAGTGATACATATATAGTACGGAAATATATCTGCAACCCTTTACTTGTCGGTAGGTATAATGTGACCTCCGCCTCTAGGTCTGTGTCACCGGCTTTAAGCCTTTGACCAATTGTGTATCAGGAAGGGTTAGTATGGTTTGCTACAGAAAAGTTGGACCTCCATAATTTGAAAAATTGCTGTTGAGAGCCACAGCCGAGAGGGGCCCCAGCAAACTTCCAGCTGCCAGCAAACTTCCAGCTGCCGGCTGATGATTGGCTCACAGCAGCCCCAGCAAACTTCTAGCTGCCAACTGATTGGCTCCTCTGCGGTGATGCTCATTGGGCTGTTTCTCCGCCCTTTCAGACCACGGAGCTGCTCATTGGGGGACTTTTTTTGGCTCTGCAACGTGACACAGCCAATTGGCCTCAAGATCAAGAGCAGGAGGAGTGGGGGAGGTGGAGAGGCTTGTGGGAAGCAGGTGGTGGCAGTTGGGCTCTGAGGGTTATTCCTGAGGAGCTGTGTGATGCGGTGTGTGTTCTAAAAATAAAGTTTGTTTCTTTTGACAAGTGGCTCCTGAATTGTGCCCAGCCAGACTGTGGCATTTACTATGCACATTTGACCAACAGCAGCATCATTAAATCTGGAGTCTCCTGTGAGAAGATCAAGGAAGTAGTCGGTCACGGTTGCAAGTGGACCCTCAGCAGGTTCTTCTCCTACCTTCTCAATGGGGATGTGGACGACCTGCTTCTGTGGCAGAAGATCAACAATGTGGTCATCCTCACTGTCCTCGCCACGGTCCCGTCAGTCCCCTTCTCTGCCAACTGCTTCGAGCTCTTCGGGTTTGATATCTTGATTGATGACAACCTGAAACGTGGCTCTTGGAAGTGAACCACAGCCCCACCTTGTCCTTAGACTGCCCGACAGATGTGTGAAGAGGAAACTCATCCAGACGTCATGGAACTGATTTGCTTCAATGGCCTGAGGGCCGAGGGGAGGGAGTGCCGGAGGGCGGAGAGTGGGAGCCCCAACCTCCTATTTTCCAGGAGTGACAAGCGTGGGCTCAGCGGTTCTCACAGTCACCTTCCTTACGAGTCCCTCCTGCGACTCACTGGCAGGATGCACAGTTAGAGCGGCCCTGCCAAGGAAGGCTGTGAGGACCTGTCCTGTCCCACGCGCCCTCCACAGCTGAGAGAGACGACACCTGGGCAGAAGGACCTCCTCCTGGCCACCAGAGAGGCGCCCAGAACCAAGCCCAGCTCCAGGGCAGGCACCCCCAGGCAAGGCGCTCATCCCCTGCGTGTCCCCATCCCCTACATGTCCCCCATTCAGTCACATCCCTGCAACACCAGGAGCGCCCCAGCAGCCCAGTCGAAGGCAGGAGCCAGACCCCACGCAGGGAACTTTGTGCTCGTTTTTCCTTTCAATGAAGCTACTTTGGGAGCCTCCGGGAATGGACCGAGTGTCAAGAGGACCATCCAGGCGCTGCAGAAGCTGGCAGACAAGCAGCAGCCCACGTGCAGGAAGTAAAGCCGAGTGACATGGATTCCTGACCCCAGGAGAGCCACAGGCCCGCCCCTGTGCCCCCAGCATAGCAGCACGCGGTCTTACCCCGGGGCCAGAAAGGTGGCCGCAGGTAGAGCGTAACCTGTCCATGCGGAGATTGAATTTCTGTCCCGCATTCACCTGCTCAGATTTCTTGGAAGAACCTCACCCAGCCCCTTCCTTGTCTGTGGGTAGACTTTATTGCAATTGTGTGGTGATTTTTAAACAGGAGAAAAAGACTATTAAATCTTAAAACCCAGGAATTCACTTTTTTAAAAATATTTTTTCAGTTGTAAGTGGGCACGATACCTTTATTTTATTTATGTATATGAGGTGCTGAGGATCGAACCCAGGGCCTCACACGTGCTAGGGGAGCGTCTACCGCTGAGCCACAGAGTAGCCCCACGTTTCATTTTTAATGGACTATTTTTCATCAGAATTATTTTGTCAACCTAGTGGTCAAATAGGTGTGGGGAGTGAACTACTGTGAGTCAAATGGCTTGTTTAGGGGTGCTGTGCCTTGAACCAGACCTGGGGGCAGGAAGCCCCCGGGGCATCTGCAGCCATGTTCAAGTGGCCCTCTTGGCAGGCGTGTCACAGGTCCCCACCCAGCACATGATGACAGGACCTTCCCCACCTTTCGTGACAGTTGAAAAGACCCTCAAGAGTCCTAAGACGGAAGGTGCGGGAGGGTCACTAGACCCTGTGCTGGACAGCTGAGGGCCATGGCCACATAGTGCACGATCCCTCTGAAACAGTACCAGGTGGAGAGGCCTCGGAGAGCAGCTGGAGGCTTCCAGGGACCAAGGGCCGGGGACAGGAACGGCTGCCGGGGTGGGAGGGCAGAAGGCTTCCCTCTGGGTGATGGAATGTTCCAGAACCAGGCAGCTGCACCACACTGGAGTGCACTAAATGTCACTAATGGTAAGTTTTATGTCGTGTGTTTTTTACCACAATAAAAAGAGCTAAAGGGAAGAAAAAGGGTCAGCAAGGTGGCAGAACAGGAGGTCCCCACAGGTGTTCCCACAACAATGCTCTTGCAGCCAGCCATGGACACGGGTGCCTCTGTGAGAGCCTTGGGGTTCAGATGGGAGCCCATGAGGCTCTGGAGGAGCCAAGACCCAGGAGGGTCATCTCAAGAGGCAGAGCCACGCTTGGGCAGACCTGTTCACTGCTGCCCAGCTCCAGACCAGAAACTGTCCTGCCCCCAGAGGGCACCGCTGTATTGGCCTTGGGCCTGCTGCCAAAGCCGACCGCCAGGGAAGCTGTCAGCTTAAATGGCTTGTAGGATGTTTTCTGTCAGCCTCAGCAACCACGAAGACGGCACCCAGGGCAGACGCGCAAAAGACCAGGAGAAGGGACCAGGCACACTGTGGCGGAAACAGAACCAATCTCAAAGGGAGGCGCCACGGTGGGGGGCAGAAATGAGAAGTTCAGTCAGCAAGGAATCGACAATGCTAAGTGAGTAACGGTCGAGAGTTGTCTCGGGTGTAAGGGCCTCATGATTCCCAGTCAAAAGACACAGAAAGAATCAACAAATAAAACAAGATGGGAAGGTCCAACAATGTGCCCTCGGACAGACTCTGTTTGGCCTCAGGGCACACACATGAAAGTGGTGAGACGGAAAAAGATCTGCTAGGAAAATGGCAGCCACGAGCAGGACTGGCATCTCGGCTTGTTTTCTGTGGCTGTAACAGAATACCTGAGACTGAGTCATTCACAGAGAAAAGAGGCTTGTTTGGGCTCATGGTTCTGGAGGCTGGGAAGTCCAAGAGCATGGAACTAGCACCTCCTCAACTCTCTGGTGGGGGTCCCATGCTGCTTTCCAACCACAGAAGAAAGTGGAGGGCGGGGAGACCACAGGAAAGGAAAGGGGCGGTCCCTGTAGCAGAGCCCTGCGCCATGGGGGTGCTCTCCCCACACTTGAACACCCGCTGGGCCACCCGACGCCTCCCGCAGGCCCCTCCCAACAACAGTGGGCCACAGCAAAACTCAGGGGACAGTTGACAATGTCTCCAGACAATGACAACAGAGACCGTGCACCAAGACTTAGAGGAACAGCAAAGGAGGTCCCCAGGAAGACGCTCAGAGAACAGAGTCGGACGCCCAAGAGAGGAGTCCAGAGCGCTCTGCCCCCAGGGAGCAGAAGAGCCCCAGCCAAGGCCAGAGGAGGGGGACGCGCAACCTGCAGACCAGGCTCTCGCTGTCCGGGGTGTAAGGGTCTCTCCACTCTGCAGGCTCTCCTCACCTTCCTGACTGCTCCTGTGCTGCAAGGACCTTTTTGGCTGACACCATCCCATTTACTGATTCTTGGTTTTCCTTCCTGCACTTCAGGAGTCTTGTGGAGGAAGTCGGCTCCTAAGCCAACCTGAGGGGGAGCTGGGCCTGCATTTTCTTCTAGTAGGTGCAGGGTCTCTGGTCTCATTCCTAGGTCCTCCATCCACTTTGAGTTGAGTTGGGGGCAGGGTAAGAGGTAGGCGTTCAGTTTCGTTCTGCTACGTATGAATTTCCGGTTTTCCCAGCACCTTGTTGAAGAGGCTGACCTCATGTGTGGAGATGACCTAGTCCTTTCCCAGGCCATACGTGGTCCAAAGTCTCACAACGCTGGCAGGACATGCTCTCATCAGCCACTGGATCCTGGATGGCACACCCAGTCCCTGGAGTGCTCAGGGGTTAGGTGTTGAGAGCCATCATGGACTGTGTGTGGACCAGTGCGCAGGAGAATCGGGTATCTGGGAACTTCCAGCAGCCATCCAGCTGGTCAGACTGCCCAGATGCATGTGACTTTGGCTCTGCGAGGTCCCACACTGCACTGGAGATGGGAGGCCTGCTGTAGCCACACACACCAGCCTCTCAGAGATGGGTGTACCCTGCCAAGATGCCAATCAACTGGCTGACTGCAAGACCACCCTGAAACCGTATCCCTGCCTTTGATGCTCTCCCTTCAATAAAGAACAGGAGCCATTTTTTAACTGTTCTGTTCCAGGTTCACTAGGAAGATCTACCAGGTGCTCCCTTAAACTACAATTCTGACTTTGTCTTTCATTTCTTCATTAATTACTTCAGACTTTATTTTCTCAGGTGGCTTATCCTTTCCCACAATATGAGGGAAGATATGAGGTGTGCAAATGTACTTCTTACTGTGCTGTTTTCAGTTGATGAAGGCTTTGGGGGATGGACCCCATCAGTGGAGGAGAATCCATAATAGCGTCTACAGTTGATTTCAATCTCTACTCACCTGGTTCCAAATGTGTATCTCATTCCTCACCTCTAGAAGGGAATTATTAAAATTAAAAGCTGCCTTCTAGATAAATAACCTACCGTACACCTGTTTTAAGGGTGCTCAGGTAGTAAAACTCAGGTGAGCGTCACGGTGCCAGCCGGGAATGATTAGGAGAACCTGGGCTCCCGCACAGAACCTGAGAGCCTCCTCTCCAAGACCATAAAAATCACGGTGGCTACTGTATCAGGGTTCTCTAAGGAACAGAATGGCAGGAAGTATACTTATAAAAAGGGGATTTATGATGCGACCAGAGGCTGCACAGTCCACAGTGGCCGTCTGCAGTCTGGACAGCTGGGAGAACCAGAAGCTGCGCAGTCCAAGAGGCTGAGGCCCCAGAACAAGCGGAATCGACGGTGCTGCTCTGGTCTGGGACCAAAGGCTTCTGGAGAATCACGGGCAGAGCCGCTTTGGAAGAGTGAAGAGGCCAGAGTCCCGCGTCCTCCGGCGATAGCGGCAGCAATCAAGAAGCCATTCAGGAAGAACGGAGCTTGCTTCTGCTGATGCCTCCTTGTTCTTCCAACTGCTCCTCCATCCAAGCCATCATCCTATTGGACGGTGCTGCCCCCTCTTGGGAGGGTCTCCATTTCAGGTGGCTGACCCACATGCCCATCCTTCCTAGACACACCCGTAAGCCTCTTAATCATCAGCGTCTATTAACCAATCAAACTGGCAATTCAAATTGACCACTCTAGTTACTTTTGCAGAGAACTTACCCTGACCCTAATGATTTAAAACATATTTGCTAGACTCCTACTTCCCCTTACATGTTGAAGGGTCAAAAATTTCAGTTATGATAGTTTAACCAAATATGCATAAGGAAAAGAAGCAGTGACAGAATTCCACATCAAGTATTCCATGTGTCATATTCCATGTGTTCCAGATTTGAAGGCAAATTCCAAACCCTCCATGGTAAGGAAGGATCTGTGCAATTAGGGGAGATGAGGTTGAGAGGATCATGGAAATGGGAAGAGGAGACGTGAGGAGAAACGTGACGGGGGTTCGGAGATGTTGAGTGACACTGAGGTCCAGGCAGGGGCCAGCCACATTAAGAAGCAAACAAAATGAAATCAGGTCAGAGGAGACCATGAAAGCAGGTCCTAGTCTGGACTTTCCCTTCTCCAGTTAGGCCTGTCGGTCAGCTGTCACCGTGACACAATGCCTGAGAACATTTTAAAAGGAGGAAAGATTAGTTTGACTCCCGGTGTCAGAGGGCTCAGTCCACGGTCACTTGTTACGTTGCTTTGGGCTGAGGCAGAACATGATGGTGAAGGGCACGAGGTGAAGCTGAGCTTCTCCCCCACGGTGACCAGAAAGCAGGGGGCCAAGGGACACGCCCCAGTGACCTATGTCTTCCAAAAGGGCCCCACCTCCCGAAGTGTCTGCCACACCCACTAGCACTCAGCTGGGGACAAAGTCTCCGACACAGGAGCCCTTGGTGACCTTCCAGGCCGTGACACTAAGCCGTGATTTTGGAAATCAGTTTCTTTTGCCTGGTGGCCACTTAGCGCTGGAAGCTGGAATTCACACTCAAATCACAGAAACGGGCAGCCAGCCCTCCCTTCAGCCCTCGTCAGGAGTGCCACTGGTCTCAGCTGCCCTGTGGGACACCCCAACTTTCTGGCTCAGTGGCAGGGCCGTTTTGGGTGGCTTACACCAGTTTCTACTTGAATCTTTGCGATATTTACATGGTATTTAGGAAAGTACAAAGCTGTGCCAGTTTTTTAAAGGTGCGAGTTACATTTACCTTCCCCCAGCAGAATGATCACGTGTGGAAACAATGCCGGAGGTCCTGTCTCCACTGGGGACAGCATGTCCTGGCCACACTGCAGCCTGCAGGGCCGCTGAGCTGAGGCTTCCCTCTGATTCCCCAGTGCTATGCCAGCTCAACGTGGCCTAGAGCCCTCCTGCTGGGAACGTGGTCGTGACCCACGGCACAGGAGAAGAGAGCTCAGGGGAAGCATAGGACAGGTGGGATCCCCAGAGAGGCCCAACCCACTGCCAGGAAGGGCCCAGCCTGCTCAGCAGGAAGATGGTCTCCCCTCCTCCACGCAGCAGGGGACCTCCCAGGGACCCTCGCTCAGGGAGGCTGTTGCTGAGCACACTCTTTCATCCTGGTGCCGCAGCAGCCAGAAGACACCCCCACAGGATGTCCAAGGTGTGGTCCCTGGCCCTGTGGCCATGTCCCCTTACACGGCAAAGGGACACTGCAGCAATGGCTGAGGATGGAAATGGGCAGAGTCCTGGATCATGCAGGTGGAGTCGGGATCTTATAAGAGGGAAGCCAGGGAAAGCCAGAAGGGACCTGGGGACAGAGTGGAGGGGGGTGTCACCGGCCAAGGTACCCAGGAGCCTCTGAGCTGGGAAGGAAAGGAGAGGGTTCTCCCAGAGCCCCTGAAGGGACACAGCCCGCCCAGCCTGGAAGTCCTGCCTCTGAGGCGCAGGTGGTAAAGGCGTGTTCCCTGGGTTGTGTGGCAGGTCACACCAGCGAGCGAGTGTGCCTCCTCAGGGCAAGTGGGACAAGAGCCAAGCCAGGCCACGTGGGGCTCTGCTCCCCTGCTAGACCCCCTCCTGGTGACCATGCACTGCACCCTGGGAGACGCTCCTGATGTGACGCGGCCACGCAGACGACAGTGCTGAGGGCAGGTGGGGGGAAGGTACAGGCTGCCCGCCCCACGCTACCACGTCCACGGCCAGCAGGGCTCTCTTAGGAGGCCCAGTGGGCGAGGGGCTGGGTGAGAGAGCACAGCAGCACAGTCCACCTGGATCCACACGTCCTCAGAGCCGGGGTGGAGCTCTGTTGTCACAGCAGCAGGAGGGGCCACCCCCTGTCCTGCCCACCACGCTCCTGTACGGACGAGTTTCCTCTGGGAACCCCTTCCCCAACTCCAGGGTCCCTGGAGGGCAGCGAGGCCAGTGAGTCAGGGTGGGTCTCTGGCCCTCAAATTCATGTCCACCAGAACTGGCAAAGGGGACCGTATGTGGGAAAAGGGTCTTCGCAGAAGTCACCAGCCAAGACGAGACACACTGTGTTAGGGCGCGCCCTAACTCCAATGGCTGGTATCCTACGAAGAGAGGGACGTCTGGACTCAGACCCAGAGGGAAGAGAGACCTGTGAAGATGGGCGGGGGTTGGCATGGGGCCGCCACCCGCCAGGATCCTGAGGGCCCCAGCATTCACAGGAGACGGACGCAGCCTACCAGGGCTAGGTGCTCCCAGACATCAAGGCTCCACCTGTGAGTGCTGGGGAGTGGGAAAGGACAGAAGAGCCAGCGCAGAGGGTCTCCTGGCCATGTGTCTGCAGCTCGAGGATCAACCCGTCATGAAGTGAGTAATAAAATGTGGCTAGTTGAAGTAAACAGCCATACACTTAAAGTGATATTTTAAAAACTGTACCGACAGTTTTGATACAGAAAAGTTGTTTGGCTTAAGTCCTGTCAATGCCCAGGGAGGGTGCTACCACTCCTCCTCTGCTGCGATGTCTGTCAAGTCTAGACATAGCTCCTGTCTGCTGCAGAAGCCGGTCAGAACCTCAAAGAACCAGGCAGAAGCCACCCAGACAGGGCCACGCCAGCACTGAGCCAAGAGCAGAGACAGCGGCCACACAGAGGCCACACAGGGCACTGCTGGACTGGATGAGGCCACAGAGGGCTGTGGCAGCAGGACCCACATCCCTGGGGAGCTGCCCTGCAGGCCTGACCAACCCAGGCAGGCTGTAGGAGGACTGTCCATCAGGAAGGCTGGCAGCAGGCTCTGCAGAGGGTCCTGTTTCCAACCATGGCCACCCAGTGGCTGCAGCGGCCCATCCTTCAGCAGCCGCCCCAGGGAGAAGGGGCCCAGGGCCCTGGCTGGCCTCTGCTCTCCTCAACCCACCACACAGAGTGAAGGGTCACACGCTCAGGGAACGGAGCAGGGCAGTGCAGTGGCTTTTTCACGCCCGTCAGGGACAGCCGGCCTCGGGCTCCCCACTGCCTGTGCTCTGCAGGTGCCCTGACTCCCTCCCTGGCCTCCCTCTGTTCTCACGGATCCTCCATTTCCTTAGAGCCCCTCCTGACCCCGCGTGCACTCAGGTACGGTCTGCCCACATGTGGACATGCACAACCCCTCAAGGTGAGTTTTATATGTACGCCAGCCCTCAGGTTCTGTGGGTTCTGCAGCTGAGGTTGAACCAACTGCAGAGTGGAAATAATTTTAGAAATTGCATCTGTTCTGAAAAACTACAGACCTTTCTCTTGCTGTTTCCTAAGTAACATAGCGCCTGTGATGTGATTCATATTGTAAATAACCCAGAGATGATTTAAAGCACATGGAGGGTGTGTGTCGGTCACCTGCAAACGCTGTGCCCTTTTATGAAGGGACTTGAGCATCTGTGGTTTGTTTGGTCTTCAAGGGGGTCCTGGGCCCATCCCCTGTGGGTCTTCGTCACTATGGCAAACCCTGAGGCCTGTCTGCTCACGGTTCACAGGCGTTGGCCTGTGGTCTGCCGGCCCCGTGCTTTTGGGCCTGTGGCCGGGCAGCTGCAGCATGTAGCAGCACTTGGTAGACCACTCGCCACCTGCTCAGGAGGTGAAAGAGGAAGAGCACACCCCAGGACCAGGCCCTCCCGGAGGCCCACTCCCAGGTTCTACCCGCCACCCAGGGCATCACCCGGCCTTCAACACAAGCACCGAGAGACAACTGAGTGATCAGAGTGTACATCCTGTGTGTGCAGAGTTCAAAGGTAGACCTGGCTTTTTGCAAACCAGTAGGAAATGTTGTTTCTTAAGCTAATTTCTAAGGGACCAGCATGGCTACCCCACATGGAACGCACACTGACTCCAGAACTTACCCACCTGTCAAACAGCTGGAAGGCACTTTGTTCTGCAGAGCAGTGTTTTGTCTTGTTGGCTTTAATGATAATTCCTAATATAAGCTGATTAAAAAAAAAAAAAGTCCAGTTTTTTCAGCCAAATCTAAAGTGGTGTTTCCAACCATGGGTCTGTTTGGACAGTTGTGTGACAAATGTCCTGGTCTTGCTTTGACATTTATTTGAAAAGAACAGGCCTCCATCCAGGGAAATTGCAGTAGAATTTTTTCCCCTTGAAAACTCAAGATAGCACATTATTTTTGAGTTATTTTAAATGGCATTACCAAAGTTCTGAAGATTATAATCATGCATGCCCCAGGCATTTTAGGGTCAAAATAATTGCTGGCACCAAAACATTATATTTCATGTCCTCCTTCACATAAAACACGTGTATGTACTGAAAAAAATGAATAAGCATATATCTTATGATGAGATTTTCAAGAAATTATTTCTTTCTTGTTTTGGGGTGGAATTCTACATGTTAGGGTAAAAATTGGTTGAATAGCAATTGCTTTTGTGTCTTCCGGGCATCCTGCAAAACAATAGAAAAGGTGACTGGACTTTGTCCTTAAACCAGGACGAAGAGTAGAGAGTCTCAAGAGGTGACCCACTTCCCAGGCAGCCTGGGGCCAGGATGACAGCACTGCTCCAGCCCTGAGCAGCCTCCCAGGGACCCCCTGGCTGTGGCCATGTGGCCTGACAAGGGCACAGAACTGAGGGGAACGGGTCAGGCTGAGTGCGGTGGCTCTGGGGCATCAGCAAGGCTGGAGTTGGTAGCAGAGCTGGAGGGACTGGGCAGGAAGCTGCCTGGCCTGCCATCTGTACCCGCTACCCCCAGGCCCAGTACATGGTGGAACTGCTTCCTGGTGGCAGAGGGTGCCATGGGGGGCGGGGTGCCTGGAAGTGGTTTGTGAGCCCCATCTGACTAGCGCAATTCTGACCACTGTCCCTAAGCAGGGACTAGAATGTCTTTCCCTTTACAAGTTCTAGGGTACTCCTAAAGTCCTGGGGCTCTCCGGGGCCATCTGGGGCAGCTAACATGACATTAGCTTCTGTCTCTGTTTTAGCCAACACTGTCACCGGGTTTCACGCACAGCGGTGGGTCTGTGGGTGGCTCCACTTCCCATCCAGGATGACGCTCCCAGTCTCATCCTTGACCTTGACCCTCCCCGTGGCGTACTTGGTTTCCTGGCAGCCATTGCAGTACACGGTCTTGACGGTGCCATCGGGGAACTCCCTCCTCTTGAACTGGGCCGTGTGGATTTCTTTCTGCCCGTTGCTGAACAGGATGGTTTTGTCGCCGTTCCTGTTAGAGGAGAAACACCCAGGTAAGCTGGGCGGTGCCCTAGCCAAGGCCACAAGTGTGGTGCCCGCAGGAGAGTGGCGGCAGACAGGGTCTGGACTCCTGGCTTCCTCCTCCAGGCCCTGGAGGCCAGGACACGGAGGCACAGGAAGATGCCAGGGGCTTGGGGCACTGACAGGAAGGTGGGGAGTGACGAGATGGGCCACAATGCAGGGGGGCAGATCTGTGGGCAGAGAACCTGAGACCTGGGCTGGCAGCTGAGGGGGAGGTGAGAGGTGTTCACCCAGGGAGTTGGTGAGCACCAAGAAAAGTGCCCCAGGTGATGGGAGATGTCCACTGCAGCAGACCAAGAGAACCCACAGGAGAACAGCAGGACTCCTGCAGCCTTGTGGACGCTAGGTGGAGGACAGGGAAGAGTTAGGCCACTGGGTGGACAGGCCTCGTCTCTGCTCTGTGCATACACCAGCACCCAGAGAGCAGACCCCAGCTGCACAGCCTCGGTACCCCAACTGCTCATTTCCACGTGCTCTACACTAGACCTGGGCTGGGCAACGGGGTCTGATGGACACTTGCACCTGGGACCGGAACTGTCCTGTGATTGCAATTCAAGCATGGCAGCTTCAGTGAATTAAATACAGTCCTGTGTCACTAACAATGGAGACATGTTCTGAGCAGTGTGTCGCTAGGAGGTTTAGACACCAACACACAAAGCTAGGGCATCCCTGGGCGCTACAGCCTCATGAGACCATTGCAGACAGCATCATTATGGCACGGGACTGACCCTGAGAATCCATGTTCAAACATTTATTCAAGGGATTTAATCAAGGTCACAGGCAATTTCTAGGGCCAAGGACATGATTTTTCTACTGCTGCATTTAAATAAACACTTAAATTTTGCAAAAACCCTAAACTAACATGAAGACACTGTTGAATACACAAATCAAAGATTGGGGATGCTTTGGTTCACATGGCCTGACTCGATCCTGACCTTTTCACGATGACCACTGTCCCATCTGGAAACACAATCTCCTCACGCCCGCCCTTGAGCTGCGTCACTGTCCCGTCGGGAAACACGGTCTCCTTGGAGCCATCAGGGTGGAATTTTTCTGCAGAACACATTTTTAAAGATGCGTGTTACATTGAATGTGTTTAGAAACCATGTTACACGTGAATGATCTTCATACAAGGTATTGTTGAGGTCCAGAGAAAAGCTACTATTTCCTAATTTTAAGTGTTGATAACTAGGGTTGGCAGATATACTACAGAATGCCCAAGTAAACTTGAATTTCAGATAATTGAATGACTTTTAGTGTAAGTAGAATGGCTTGAGCTATCTTTTTTGATTTTATGGCCACGTGGAAGTGATCCTCCTTCAAGTACAAGCTGCGTGTGAAGTCTGAGTCTTGCTCTTTCTGCAGGCCACCTGTGCACAGCACGACCCTCTCCCCGTGCCGGGCAGAGGCAGGGGCTGCAGCTGCCAGTCAGCCTGGCCGCCGGGCTACATCTGGTGCCCCTACTCATGAAAACAGTTCAAGGACTTAAATATCATATGGGGATAATCAAGACCCTTCTCCTGACACCCCGTGATGGGAGCGTGCTTGTCAAGCTCTCCGTTGCAGCCTGGGCGTAAACAACGGGCACACGTATGCTGGCCCTTCAGCACAGTATCTTCCTAAACCAGGACCTTCCCGGGTCACTCGGCGGCTCAAACATATTTGACAGTGACTCATTTGCTATGGTCTGGATGTTTGGGTCTCCTCAAAATTCATGTGTTGAAACCCTCCCCCTCAGTGTAGGAGGTGGGGTCTTTGGGGAGGATTTGATCTTAAGGGAGGAGTCCTCAGGAAGGATTAACGCCCTTAGAAGAGTGACCACAGAGCGACCTCCCCTCCACGGGAGGCACGCACACCAGCCCCTGAACCTGTGGGCGGTGGTCACACACTGGCAGCCTCCAGAACCGTGAGCAATGCATTTCCTGGCTTGTCAGCCCCCAGGTTAGGGTTGCAACCACCCAAGGGCACCAAGACGTCCACTCAGGACTAGGACTAGTTTCCAGACGGGCTCTGCGGACCACTCCAGCACTTTCTATGCATGTTGGAGCGCCGTGCTCCAGGCAGGGTGATCGCCCCAATCTCACCCCAACACAAAATTCAGATTCTCCCAACTGTGCGCAGAGGCGCCTCGTTTACACACATGCACCAGGGGAAAGAAAGACCAAGGAATGTGGCAAAATGTTAGAACCGTGACTCCCAGCATGGGACACGCAGGAGATCTCCATGCCTTCCTGGAAACTTTCTGTAACTTTGAAATTACATTAAAGTGAACAGATAAAAAGTAAAAAAAAAAAAAATCTAAAACAAGCCTAAAGCAAAGAAGTGGAACCACAGAGAGTTGGACCTTGTACTGGAGTGCCGGGTGTCAGAGGCCACGCCCCTCTCAGCACGCCTGTGTTTGAAATAGTGCAATCCAGAGGAAATGGTATTGTGTGACCATGTTTCCGAATACAGCATATGCACCAATTACCAAAAGGAAAAAATTAAATTAACAAAATTAAAATAGTATGGGAGATTACATAAAGATTAACTTCCAGTATCACCAATTGTGGCATAAATATTGTGTCCTTCTGACCCACACTCTCTGAAATGTTAAGCCCCAGAGGTTTCTCTGCCCACCCACTCAGTATTTCTACAGAACACTAGCTGGGCTCTACAGACCCAATCTGGTTTGGTTATCCATGTGTTCCTAGAGAGAAATAAAGCAACATCAATTGTAAGGAAACTAGACCAGGAATGAGCTGGAGCCCAGTGCAGGCTATTTTTTTTTTTAACCAAATGCAGAATGCTTTTGTGGCTTAAAGTCACACAAGCAGAACAACGTGCCTTCTCTCTCTTTTTTTTTTTTTTCAATTTTTTATGAGCTCTAATCAGTTATACATGACAGTAGGAAGTTTTTCGATTCACTGTACACAAATAAAGCAGAAAACAACCCAATCAATAAATGGGCCAAGGAGCTGAACAGACTCTTCTCAGAAGAGGATCTACAATCGATCAACAAATATATAAAAAAAAATTCAACATCTCTAGTAATAGAGAAATGCAAATCAAAACTTATCTAAGAGTTCATCTCACTCCAGTCAGAATGGCAATCATCAATTCTCCAATCTGGAAAGCAGGATGGAGAGTCCTTAGAAAACTTGGAATGGAACAATGCACCTTCCTAAACAAACACATTGGTGCACCGTCACCTGGTGGCTGCTCCAGCCCCACCCTGGTGGGCTGCTGCTGAGGACCTATCTCCACAGCCCCTTCCCTGGGGACTGGAAACTGGCTCTGAAAGCAGTTTCAGGGCCATCTGCAGAGCCTGGGAGGGTGTTTGGTGGGACTGGGTAGGCAGGATCCTGCACCCACAGATCAGCACAGCGCAGGACGATTTTCAAACCAACCTTGAAGCAGGAAGTTTTGCTTTTCCTGAGCCAAGAGCCTATTCAGCCATTCCTGTTACTGCAAATCAGGAAGAAAAGTGAAGCCAGATTTAAAGTTAGGTAGTCAGTGTAGTTAGGTAAATCGGGTCTAATACCGAGTGAAATCTAAAATGGAGGCCATGCTGGGAATGACTCAGGGAAAACGCAGGACAACTCATGGAATGTCAGTGAAGTCCCGGAAAGGCCCTAGGCCAAAGTCCACCCCAAAGAAGTGTTAATGAACAGCCCCCAACAGATTTGGAGATAGCCCATCCCAGAGAAGTGATAAGCCCATCCCAAAAAGTGATAATGAAGTCCCTCCGTCCCAGATTACTTGTTTGGCCCAGATTACCTGTGTCCCAACCCTTCCCCTACATTCCATCACCAAAACTATAAAAGGGGAGACAACCGCACTTCCACGGATTCCACCTCTTGGGTCCCCTTCTTCCTCCGGGAGAAGTCTTTTCTGCTGTCCTTTAATAAACTTCTAATTTCCACTCTGACCTTGCCTCGGCGTGCTTTTCTGGTGTTATTCTTCAACATCAGGGAAGCAAGGACTCGTCACCGGTCAATAGCGGTAACAAAAGTACACACATACAGAATCCAGAGAGTTAGGACATTTGTTACACAGAATGCTGGCAGCTGGGCAGAGAACGTCAGAGGGAGGCTGCAGAGAGAGTGACCCTAGGTCACTACCAAGTTCATATGGCATTAGCTGCAAAGCATTTTCCCCCAACGTGTTGGGCTGCAAGCTTCCTGGGCTTCCTTGTCATTACAAGTGACAAAACTCACTGAAAATGCAAACCCCAGCCGCTGCAGAGGGTGGGAAAGAAGGCAGCGCTCACAGTGGGGGTCTGGCAGGCAGGAAGCCGGCCTTGCCACCCCAGACCTGGGAGGAGAACCCGGGAACAGTGCTCAGGTCAGCTTGGACGTGGGCAGTAAGAATGACCCAGAGAGAGAGAATGGCTGTTAACACACAGTCCCTGAGAAGAGGCGCCCTGGGATGTTCAGCATGTAAGGGGCAACATGACAGTGCCTTGCGTCCCTCGCCAAGAGGTGCTGACCCACAGACTATTAAAGACCCTAAGAACCTCAGGAAGACCAGCCTCACATGATCCATCACTTCCCAGATAAATTTGTCAGGCCATAGAACACGTGTGCTGTTGCTGTCCACAGACTCTGAGAATGGTTTGGGGAAATATGGATGCAGATTACCCATCGCTGTCACGGCCACCACCTGGGGACCAGTACACGGCCCCTTGTAGAGACCTGTGCTGTCAGACCATCACCACCACCAACACCTTACCTGTCTGCAGCAGGTGGTGTGTCAGACACTGCTGAGCACCTGCAGAACCCCCAGAGAGCCCTGGGGTGTCCCACGAGAACCCCCAGAGAGCCCTGGGGTGCCCTGAGTGAGCCCCCAAGAGCCCTGGGGTGTCCCACGAGAACCCCCAGAAGCCCTGGGGTGCCCTGAGTGAGCCCCCATGGAGCCCTAGGTACCCCAAGGAAACCCACCGCAGAGCCCTGGGGTGCCCCGAGTGAGCCCCCAAGAGCCCTGGGTACCCCAAGGAAACCCACCGCAGAGCCCTGGGGTGCCCCGAGTGAACTGGCTCATGGGGCCTCAGCAATGCCCATGGACTGGTCCTCTGACTCACTCGCTCTCCAGGATGAAATGGAGGCCGGGGAGGCCACCTTCCCTGGGTCACCCAGAGAGGCTCACGGTGGTCCTAACGGCAGAGCCATGGGTCGCCTCTCTGAATCTATCTCCCGCCTGGTGCTGCCCTGTCGGATCAACTGTCCCCACCAACGCTGCTGCAGCAGAAAGAGCCGCGTGATCTTGTGTGCAAAGTCTGATGTTAGGTTTCTGTTTTTATTTTGCTTTACAATTATATGGCTAGACTTCTTAAAATAGAATAAGAAAACTAAGGAATGAAATCCAGACCAAAATGTTTATTTTCCAGACACGGCGCCACCTGCTTGATGAAGGAGCCTTCACAGGAACAGCCTACAGGACTCCACCTCCTGGTCAGAATGTGTCTGAGCCAGCCCTCCCGGCCGCCCTGAGGACGAGCTACTCCGCCTGTGGGTTTCCCACACTGGGGCCCAGCGCCACGGCTTTCTGTGTTCAAAGGGGCCCAGCAGCTTCCTCTCAGGGAAATGTCCACTGCAGGGCCTGCCCCGCCTCCTGATCTAAACGCCGGCCTTTGTTTTGGGATCTGGGCACGCCCTCCTGCCCCTGCTTGCTGGCATGGGCTGGCAGAGGTCAGTGTGGGGAAAGGGACTGCTGGCTGGGCCCTTCCACCGCTTGGCCACTTGGGGAGACACCTGGTCTGTCACCAGGAGGCCACTCACTGCCTGGACACCACCTTTCAGCCCACTCAGCACTCAGCGTCAACACGGGGGCGCCACGGAGGAAGACGGCGACACCTGGGACTCTCGGCCTCGGTGGTGACAACCACAGGCACATGAAGAGGTCAGGAAGCAACCCATCTTTATTAAGCCTCCCAGAGAGGGCAACCCCCAGCCAGGTCCTGGAGGGCGGCGGCGAGTTGATGGTGGCGTTAGCACTGAGTGTCCTCTGGGAGGGAGACTATCGGCCAGTTTGCACCCCCAGAGAGCTGAGTTCTGTGAGAGGACATCCACATCACTATTTTTAAAAATAGAGATTCAGATGAGAGTGGAATTAAATTCCAAGGAGGCAAAGCAATCTCACAGAGCCGGGAAACGAGCCCCCGAGGACGGGGTTTCAGAGTCCAGGTGCTTCCACGGAGAGCTTGGCAGCTCCGGGTGCACTGAGCTGACCAGCGGGCCCCCACCCTGCGGCCCCCTGGCGTCACGGCCCCTCGCACTCAGCCAGGTGGCAGACCCCACCTCAGTGCATGTCCTCACTGCTCACAGGAAACTGCGGTTGAAACCTGCCCACAGGTGGCCCCTGTGAAGCCACCGGGACAGGACAGGCACACTGTGTGCCACACTGCAGCAGCCGCCGGAGCCCTCGGGAAGTGCAGGGAAACGCACGCTGGGTTTTTAATGATCACCTGCCTGACGGCGGCCTGAGAAGCCACCTGGGCCTCGTGGGGCAGCGCCACTCACCTGTCTGCTTGTTGGGAAACTGCACAACTTCCACGCCGTTGGGGTAGGTGGTGTGTGTCGTCTGAGCTTCCGCGTAGTAATAGATCTGTAAGCACCAGAGAGGCCTGCGTTGGGAGGAAGTGTGCACTCACCGCGCCCCTGGATTTCAGCGGAGGGCGGCCGAGGTTGCCTCCCCACGGGTGCAAGGGCCAGCCCCAGGCACAGATTCACACAGCCATGAGTAGAGAGAGGAGCTGTCACCAAGGCCCAGAAATGGCCACAGTGTCCCAGGTCATGGGATGGGGTAGCTCTCACTCCTGCCCCGCAGAGCTGAAGCCTGGGGTGACAGGAGCCACGAGCCACAGGCCCCGCGTGGTGAGCCCCCGCTCAGGCCGGGGCTGACGCAGCTGGAGGGGCAGATTCACCCTGTGTGTTGGATGTCCCCACCCTGTGCCCTGAACTGCCACAGATGCCTGGTGGTTCCAGAGGAGGAGACAGAGCAGAGGGAGCGGGGCGGAAGTGCCTCCAACCCCAAAGCAGGGGCCCTAAGCCTTAGAGACATGGAGCGCCAGAGGCAAACAGCAGCCAACTCAGTCACCGGCCTTCACAGCCAGGAGGCAGGAGGAGGACATTTCCCTGCTGGCCTGAGAGTGCAGCAGCCACCTCACCTCGGTCACCGGCGGTGGCAGAGGGGGCACAGGACAGGGCGTTGCCACCCGCTGGAAAATGCAGTGCTGAGACCCCAGGGTGGCTTCGCCCCTAACCTTGGTGGCGTTCTTCTCCTGCGGATGCTGTGTCCAAACGCCAGGCAGGATCAAGGAACGCTCCTTTCTCCACAACTACCCTAAGTCTCCCCTGTTCCCTCGAAGACATGGCTGGGGACCTGGAGCCCAGAGCTCCCAGGCTGGCTCTGGGGTCCCGCTGTCTCCTGCAATCCTGTCCTCATCTCAGGGACCTTAGATTGGTCACCCTCTCTGCACATCTCCACCCCAAGTCCAGCTACTGTTACTCTAGGGCAAGGGGAACCCGGGGCTGTGGTCGGTGAGGACAGGGACGCCACCTCCCGCTGCTCCTGGCCAGGACGTGACAGACCCCCTCTCAGTGCATCTCCAGGCCCACGTTTCCCAGCACGAACAGGGGACATAGGCTTACAGCAGGACAATGGGGGGGGGGCTGGCAGAAGTCAGTCCACACCCCGGGGCTGACACCACCCCAGGAAGAGCCAGAAGCCTCAACAGGGGCAGAGTTCAAGCAGCACAAGCAACTTGCTTCTCATAAAAATGTGAAACAGGGACAGTGGCAGAGAGGAACCTTCATAGCCTGAAGCCTGGTGGAATGGGAGCTGGCCCTGGAGACCAGTTTGGCAACATTGGTAGCCTGTTCTCCGCCTGCAGACCCTCCCTGGTCCCCAGGCCTGACTCTGCAGGACAGAGCGCCAGCTTCCCGGGTTGCTCGGCCTGCTCCTCCTGGCGGTCTCCACCTGCAGACCCTGCTGCGAAGCCTCCACACCTGCCCGCCGGCTTCCCCACCCAGGCTCCGCGGACACAGCTGACCCAGGGTTTCAAGGCTCCCCAGCCCAGGCAGGGCCCAGGTCTGTGATCTCCTGCTTTCCCCCACATTCAGTCACTGCCTTCACCACTTAGAGCTATGTGACAGGATGTCAGGGACGGAGCCCTGGAGGAGCACAAGAGCCGGCGGGGGTCTCCCCGCCTCACCTCTGCCGACAGTGAGGCTGGGTGATTCTCCCGGGCTTCGGGGAGGTCCAGCAGCATCCCTGGCCCCCACCGCTAGATGCCAGCAGCATCCCTGCCACCCCCAGTAATGACAGCCAAAAGGTCCCCAGACACAGCACGTGTGGAGGGCCACCCACTGGAGAACCGGTGCAGAAATGGAAAGCTGCCCAGAAGGCACGGCTGGTGTGACAGGGCTTCAGCCCCGCAGTGGGGTGGCTGTGTGAGAGCTGGGCCAGGGGGAGGACCGCGCCAGCCCTCTGGCCACCTGACCTCTAGCCTGCACTGGCCCTGCTCCTGCCTGCCTGAGGGCAGTGCCAGCCCACAGCCGCGGAGCAGCGGGTCTGACTGCAGAGCCGTGGCCTGCCCTTTCCTTCTCTCGTTCCCCAACACCCAGGGAATAAAGGGCACCCATGTCCAAAACGCTTGCTAATAATTGGGCTGATTTGAGTTAAGAAAGCACAAGACACACACCACTGTCTGGTCTGGCTTCACCTTCTTCACGTCACCATTGTAAAACCTGGTGGTGATGGTCTTCCTGTCTGCGCTGATCTCCTTCTTGGTGCCGTTGGGGAAGGTGACGATTGTGCGGCCATCACTGAGTGTCTGTTCCACCTTCACAGAAGCACAGCAGAAACTCCAGAATTAGAATCTGCAGTCACCATCAGGTGGCCTCTTCGCTTTTCCTTCCATTCAAAACCCCCACACATCCACTGCCCACTGGGCATTTCCCTAACACACGCCCCGTCTGTCGGTCCCAAACCCCCTCCCTGAATCGGGCTGAGAATAATAAGTACTAGGGCTCCCTCTGCAGCCTGCTCTCATGAGGTCACGTTGCCTTGCCCTCCGCCCACTTGGTGTGACACCGTGCTTGGTGGGGCTCAGGGCCGTGCCGACTGCGGGATGGCCACGTAACACACCCTCCACACAAATGAGTTTCCTTCCCATGCCATCCTGCCGACCCCATGCAGATTCCAAAGAGGAATCAGTCAATAGGTAGTTTCCTAGACATGGTACTAGGCTACCGTCTCTAAGTGTTGAAATTCAGGCACGAATATCTCTGTCCTCAGATGGAAACTACTACTCACTGGATGATCAGCATGAGGGAGGAGACCACCCAAGAGGACCTGCAGACTTAACTCACGTGCATTTCTCATCATGCCGCTAGGTAACCCTCAATACAACTCAACGACCTCTGAGAGGCCTCCTGAGACCCCCAGGAAACCTGCTGCGGGGCTCCACCCTGTGGGAGGCCTGAACCAGGACCCTGGGTGCCCAGGACAGCCCGGAGGGAGTGGAGCAGGAGGGCACAGTTCAGAAGCAGAAGGCCAGCTCTCCACCAGCAGGGCAACCACAGCAACGGTCAAAGGGCCAGCTGCCTCCAGGTACAGAGAAGCCTGCGTGATTCTGAGGTCTCCATGCGGTCAGCGACAGGCACGGCAGCCCCTCGGCCCGCAGGGTTTCGGTCAGTACTAGACACAGGCACAGCAGCCGTCAGGACTGATGGAGCTGGGGACGGCCCCTGGCCTGGTGGCCTTGTGCTCAGGGCACTGCATGTGAGGACGGTGGCGCTGGCCTGTGTGGTTGCTGTGCTGGACGTTGCCTCACTGTTGTGGAAGATCCCCAGGTCCTGACGGCATCAGGTGCTCGATGGGGACCAGTAGGTGGGTGTGCACTGCCATGAGCATCCTGAGGACGAGGACTGGCCAAGCGGCCCCGAGAACACGTCACTGCCACCAAGTGATACGTGACGATGTAGTTTTTTGTATGATACAAAAAACCAAATAAACAGAAGAATTGAGCACATCCAGTGTAGGGCGCACAGGATACAGTGGCAGAGATCAGAAGTAGCAAGCACGGGGCAGCAGCAGGTGGTGGGGAGCCAGGGACAAGGCAGCAGTCACCCAGTGTAGGGAGGAGTGGCGCGTGCTGGGCTGGAGGGGTGGCCCTGCCTCTTGCCTGCCCGCCTTTATGTTTCCTAGTGCTCAGTCACGCACACCAGCCATGTCACCCTCTTGGGGCCTGAGCTACTGAGACGGGAGGACGAGGCATGCCAGTGGATTCTGGTCCCTGAGGCCCCCGAGTGACCACGGTGCCAGAGAGGGGCTCTCAGCGACTCAGGCTCACAGCACCAGCCCTCCCCGACCAGCCCTCCAAACCTTGTGTCCACTTGCAAGACCAAAAGTCCAGGAAACATTCAAGGAAGTCAGAATGAGGGAGACCCTGCTCCTAACAGGGCCAGGAGAGAGGCTCCTAGCGCGTGGTACTGGGCTGACCAAGGAGCGGGTGGGCACCACTCCAGGCTCTCTGCGGAGCCTACAGACCGCCATGCGGCCACGCAGCTCTCTCCTCTGGCGGCCCTTCTGGGGTCAACAACAATGTCCCTGAGAATGGATCCTTCTGGAATACAGGCAGCCCCCAAGGTGGGGGTGTGGGCGCAGGAGAGAAGTCTCCTCTCAAGCACATGTGGAGGGGACTGGCTGTGAGCCTCGCCCGACTCTGCCTGCTGGCCTTCGGGTCAGCCACAGGCCACAGGGATCAGAGCCCGGGTGTGGTTGAGAGCCTGGTGCTGGGACACCCACCTTGCCGTCCGGGTACTGCTTCTCCTCCACTTGCTCCTCTCCTCTCGTGGTGTCCGTGGGGCGTGCTGCTTCTCCAAAAGGTGCTGGCTTTTCAGGAAGACCCTGCAGAAGGAGCAGAGCCATGTCTCCCGAGCGGCCCAGAAAACCAGGGCACCCGCTCGGGGCTGGGACGACGCCTGCCTCCTGGACGGGTGTCCCCTGGGGCTTCTCAGCTGAGGGCCAGGACCACCATGGTGGCAGCTGCCACATCCCACAGCTGATCCTGGAAGGCGGGTGGCAGAGGCCTGGAGCCCAGCCACCCGAACCCAGGACACTGAGGCCCAGAGGAAAGCACCACCCCACCAGCTGGACCAAGGCCTGAGAGGGGATGGGGCGTGGGGCTCCGGGCCCACTCCCGGGCTTCCTCTCCAGGCTCCTGCTTCAACCCCTCAAGCTCACAGTCTGGATCTGCTCCCTTGGAGAGACTGCTTCATTCTTTTGACATTTCTCATTAGATAAAGCAGAGTGGACCACCAGCTACAGCTCACTGGTAATTTCGCTCTATTAACCTTTCCATTTATTTCATGGAGAATAGTAGAAAATAATGTCATGAAACTTTGTTTTGGGGAACAACTAAGTCATAAGAACGTGGCTCGGGGTCGGACTGTGCTCCCTCCCGTGGGGTGCCCCGTTGGCAAGGCAGGGCCAGCTGACCTAGGAGGCCTTGGCACCCGGGCTCCTGCACTCCTGGGGAAGCTGGGACAGCCTCTTGCCACCACCTCCAAGTCCCTGGGACGCAGCGGCTGACTCCTGAGCTGGACTCAACCCACCTACCTGTGGCCCCTGGATGAAAGGGCAAGGATGAGGGAGGCCGCCAGTGTGGCCCGCGATGAGGAGCCCAACTTCCGGAGTATCTGCAGTGTGCAAGGGCACTTCTGAAAGAGCAGAGAAGGTGGGTTTCAAGCCAGGAGCCAGGAGCAGCTCTGACCAACCTGACTTCACGTCCTGCTGAGCAGAGAGCACTCTCTTCCCTCCAGAGTGTCATGGTCAGGTCAGGGGAGGAGTGACACTTGTCCTGGGAGGTGTGCAGGCCAAGTGCGTTCAGAGCTCAGCCTCTGGACACGACTCCTTTACGAGTGCGGCCAGTGCAGCACTGACCAGGAGATTAACCCGAGAGAAGCAGCATCTGCCCTGAAGCTGCCCGTGGCCAAGAAGGAGGTGGACACAGGAAAACTGGCCCACTGGATACATGGAAAGAGACCAGGCAGTGGGGAGGAGCTCTGTGGGCTTCCAGGAGAGCAGGGGGATGGCCAGGAAGGCCCCATTGGCTGAGGCCAGCCTGCAGGTTGAGGGCAGCCTTCACCAGGGTGGAGGGGCACCACAGAAAGCACAAAGGCACAAACAGGTAAGTGGAGGTGGAAGAAGGGGACCCCCGGAGAGCCAGGAGGCCAGGCCTGCTCGGACCAGAGGGCAGGAGTCTGTGCTGCCACCCTGGGGGCTGAGGTGTCAGCCTTGTTCCTGGAGGAACCTGTGGAGGACCAGCAGTGGGCTGTGTGGGGGGAGACGAGGAGGGGGCCAGAGGCACGCAGAGGACCCTGCACAGGGTCAGATGAGCAGTGGCCAGGAGTCAGGGAGCTCCAAGTGCCCTGCATGGCCACGGTGCTTACCCTGGTCCTCTCCGGCCACCGCCTTGGGGCCCTGGAACCCGACAGCAGAGGCCGGCGCTGGTAACTTCCTGCCCCTGGATTTTTGCAGAAGGTGGTGCATATCCTGGGCATGAAGACACAAAGCTGCAAGTCATTCCCCCGGTGCTGGCGGGAGCCCTGGTCTTGCACACAGCTGTCTCCAGCTGCCAGGGCTCTCCAGCCACAGCCTGACGCCCTAAGCATGGTACTGGGCACTGAGAGGGTTTTTTAAATATGGGAAGAAAATACCAGCCACAGAGCATGGCAGAGAATTTTTTTTTTAAACTCTATTGACTTAGTTCACCTTTCAAGCATGAAGACATGGTTGGAGAAATTCAAGTTTTTTTTCTATGAAAAACATAATTATTTTTAATAAAACCACCAGGTCTATGAATAACTCACAGGTGGAGAACTCTCCTTCCGCCTACCTGGAGGCTCATCTACATCTGAGCTGTGAACAAGGCCCCTGTAAAGCAGAGCGGGTTCCCAGGGTCACCTTCCGCACCTGCCAGGGTGCCTCTTCCAGGGGACCAGCGGCAGTCCTGTCTTGCAGACTCCCGTGAGGAGCTCTGGGTCTGTCTTCCTGTGTTGCTGTTTTCTCTGGGTTGGTTCTTCCTAGTTTTATGCTTATTGGCTAAAAGTAAAGGTGGGTATTTTGTGTTAATAGCCATCAGATCATCTGAAAATCTGAGTCAGTTCATGGAGCTGGCTCTCGCAGAATCCAGATGATGACAACCCTGTCTTCACGCCTGCACAGTGTACCCCCCCCTTACAGCTGCCCACGTGACCCTGGAACTTGGGGCCACTGTGGTCCATAGTGTAGGGAAGGGTCGGCACCAGAGTGAAAGAAAAGGCTTAGCACTGAGTTCACCAAGGACGAGGACAGCGAGTGTCGGCTCTGTGCTCTTCAAAGCTGCGGGCCGTGGGGTGTCAGGCACAGAGGTGTGCTATTCCCACTCAGTGGCCGGTTACCTCCGACACAGGCTTGCACACTCGTAAGTAGCCAACTCAGTGCTCCCGTCTTCCATTCAGTGTGGAAGCACAAGAATCTAGGACGGCGGAAGCCAGGAGCCCCAGGGGCCCCTCCTGGGCCTCGCCAACCCCGCCAAGAACACGCCCTTCCCTGCTTCAGCGACAGCTGGGGAGGAGACTTCAGGCCCTGCTTCAAGGAGGCAGTGTCTTCTGTTCCACGCTCACCCTGGGGGGCATCGCAGGAGCACAGGGTCCTGGCCAGCCCCCACAGCCCACCATCAGGGCCTGGATGGGGACACAGAGATGTGCCCCCTGAGGGTGAGGATGGCGCTGGGATAGGGGAGTGCACATGCTGGCCGCAGACGGTCCCAGGAGCTCACGTTCATGGACAGCACTGTGACCACCAAACCAGCGGCATCACCCCATGGGGACCATGTGACGGACAAGCCTAAGGACCTTGCGCGGTCACCCGAAATGCTACCACGGGCTACACCACCAGAGCGAGGCCTGGGCACCGCCTCCTGCCCTGGTCCCCTCTGGGGGCTCTCCAAAGGGAGTGTGCTCTGAGGACAGTGGAGAGCAGAGCTGCTGACGGTCACAGCCTGGCTGGGACTGTGCACGACTGTACCAGGAGACACCTGTGTTCATCCGGGAGGTGGGTTTCACCCTGTGGAACTGGGGGGCTACATGAGTTTGGGTGTAGAAGCTCCACTCCCTTCACGGAGCACTAGGGCAAAGTGTCACCTTGGGAGAGGTGACTGGTGTAGATGTCAGTCTTTGCTGCAGGACAGGGGTACTGGGCACCACAGGAGTGGACGGCAGGCGTTGCTGCAGGGGAGCACTGTGGCTCTCGCAGCTGGCGGACTCTGCCCTGGTCTCTTCATCGGCTAACAGAGGCGAGATGTTTCCAAACGTGGACACGGACCCCTGAAAGACAATTTTCACAGATGAAACCAAGGGCAGTGTCTGACACTCAAAGATAGCACAGCTAACGATGAACTCAGACTGTAAAGCCTCCGATGATAATCGCAACGCCTGTCACAGTCGGTGAGGTGAGGGCCTGGGGCCGTGTCAGGAAGGGCGGACCCCATCCCCAGAGCACCAAGCCGCCCCATGGTCCCTAACGATGGCCGCAGGGTCCTCAAGACGGCAGAACACCCCCCGTCTGCCGTCCCCCTGGTGATGTGTGCCAGACAGGGAGTGTTCTAGGAATTCCAGGGTGACAGTTCCCGCGTGTCTCCGCACAGGTTCAGGATTTGAGGTGCGGATTCTTGGCCTTCCTAACAAGGAGCTAAGTCCTCCAGGAGCCGTGGGGAGGGCAGTGTGACCTTGCTCCCATTCCCCACTCCCACGGCCACTGATCCTCAGTGGGCACTTCACATGTGGGGACCACACATGGGTCTTTTTAACACCATCCCTAAAATTTTGTCTGTTTAAAATGCAGAATTCGCATTCTGGTCCTTTTTCTCAAATCGGGTGGGTCTTACTTAGTGAGAGCGGTGGGATTGTCATACACAGCCGCTGGGCCAGCAGAACCGCACAGAACGGGAAGCATGAGCTGACGGGACCTCGACCCAGGAGGACAGCCCATCCCGCAGGGCGATGAGGTCCAGCGTCCCACCCAACCTGCTGTGACCCAGGTGGGCAGTGGCTCCGTTTGCTAGCAAGGGGCACAAAGCCTAGAGCAGCACCTCACGGCCTCTAGCAGCCACAGCAGCCGACCCTGGTCACTGACTGTCAGTGGACACAGGTGTCTGCGGGCAGGCTCTCCTGGCTTTCCTGGGCTTCTTTCAGAGAAGCTCCTGGACGTTCCTGAGTCCTGGGAGTGAGGACAGAGCACGGGAGGCTGCAGAAGCCCTGGGGTGTGTGAGTGTCCTGGCCACCCTGGGAACACCCACACGCTTGAGCTACGGCGGCAGAAGTTCCCACAGTGTGTGCGGAGGTGAAGGGCTGGTGCCTTTCCTTGTCCCCTAGAGGACACCTTGAGCCTGGACGGCGTCTTTGTGGCGTGGTGTCCACATCAGTACGCACGATTTCAACCACACAGGCGGCATGGACTGCGTGCAGGAAATAGGGCGCAGCCTGTGGCCAAGCTGTTGGTCATGAAGCCAGGTGTGGGGACCTGACATTAGGAAACAGCAGAGAGTCTCTGGGGAACTGACCGCCTGGCCTGCAAGGAGAGCGCCACTGCGGCCATCAGAGCTCACCTTGTCTGGGAAGACGGCACAGGCCCCGCAGCCCAGGGAGGGCGCCCTGCCCCGTCTGCTGCGGCCCCCAGGAGAGGCCTCGCCTGGCCCACTTGCCATGTGTGGCCATGGGAGATGGGCCTGAGGGACAGGCAGCAAGACTCTCACCAGTGCTGGACAAGGGACACCACCTCCCGGGGGAGGCCAGCTACTTGCTGAGCCCACCTACCAGAGGGTCTGGACCCAGGCTCGTGGGCAGGGACACTGTGGACCTCCTCTTGGCCTCCAGGAGCGGCACCCCCGAAGCCCTCAGCTCGTCTCGGAGCTCCAGGTTCTGCTTTGTCAGAGCGTCCACCTGCCTCTGGAGCTCGCTGTGGGCCGCGGAGCACCGAGCTGCGTGGCTCCTGAACGTCCCTCGGAAGGTGGACATCTGCAGCTGCAGCCGCTGCTGTGAGAAGAGGACACCACAGGGCCCTCGGGCACCGCAGCCAGCGCCCTCCGCGGGACCCCAGCCGGTGCCCGTGGCCACTTCAGTCAGAGGGCCAGCGCCCTTGGCAGGGATGAGGGAAGCAGGCCAAGCCTCCCGCGTCCCGACCCAGTGTCCACCACGAATCAGTCCGCACGTCACCAGGTGTTAGGGTTTAGGTGTGGGGGCCCCCAAAGACTCGTGTGTGGGACACTGTAGGAAGGTTCAGAGCCGAAGTGACCGGGTCCTGAGAGCCTTGACCCAGTCAGTGCATCAGTCCCCAGGAGACACTGACCCGGTGGTGACTGGGCAGCTGGGGTGTGGCTGGAGGAGGGGCCTGGGCTTGGCTTTGGGGCCCGAGGCCCCCCTCTCTCTGTCTCCCTCTCTCCTCTCTCTCCTTTCTGGTGCCATGTCCTGAGCTGCTTCCCTCCACCACACTCTCCGCCATGCTGTTCAGCCTCACCTCAAGCCCCAAGGAATGGAGCCGGCCACCTATGGACTGAGACCTCTGAAACGTGAGCCCCCAACTCTTCCTCCTCTAAGTTTGTTTTTGTCCGGTCTTTTGGTGGCAGCTGGCTACGGCACCCGGTGAAGAATTATTATTCTCTCTGGAAATACTGCTGCGGGGAATCCTCAAGGGCAGAAGGCCGGAGCCTCCGGGAGTGTGGAAAGGCTCAGCCCAGCCTCCAGCCCCGGCCTCCCCGCTTCCTTGCCAGCTCTGGTAAACGCTGTCACCTGCTGCCACCCAGTGGCTGCGCAGGGGCTCCAGGGGCTCCTCTGCCTGTCACTTCCTAACAAGCCCCTGTTCTCGGTGGAAGATGCTGGAAGCTGGCTCTCTGGGCAGCTCTTAAACCACCCGCTGCCCGAGCACCTCCCACGTGTGTGAGGTGACCACCTTCTGCACTCTGTCACCCCTGAAGGTCTGTCTTGCTGCAGGTTCCTTTGCAAACAAGAGTTCATGAGGGTCAAAGGGGAAGCGGCTTGCCGACCCTTTCAGTTTCCCTTTTGCAGAGATTGTCCCTGAAAGTAACTAGCAGCGTATTGCAAAGCCACTGAAAGTCAGAGGGGAGAAATCACAGATAACATTAATCTAGTTAATTTTAGAAAGTGAAAAGACAGATCGCGTTTTAATGTTAAATTAAATCAAATTCTCCTTCTACCTCTAGGAAAAATCTCCCAGCCACACTACATGTGTGAAGAGGGGAGGCTGGGCCTCGGGCACCGGCTGTGCTGGAGATGCTCCAGGGGACTTGGGTGAGTCTGTGCCAAGTCCCTCGTCCCTTTTCCCACATGGAATCTGTGACCCAGTGTTGAGCTGGGGCAGGAGAGGCCAGCAGCAGAGCAGGGCTCCCAGGGAGGCAGGAGCCATGCAGCCACCGCGGGCTGCCTCTCTAAACCTGGGGTCCAGTCTGTCCACTCCCTTCCTTTACTCAGCGGAGGCCCCGTGTGACTGGCCACGGGGACAGTGGGTGCAGCAGGTGGTGAAGGCTGAGGGGTTTGGTGGCCCTTCTGTCAGGACAGCGGGGGCTGGTGGACATCGGGAGTTGAGGAGGTGATGAAGGTGATGCTTCCTCTGTCTAACGGAGGCAGTAAAGCCCTGCCTTCCCCTGGGCCAGGAGGAAGCTGACATGTCCGCCGTCTCTGCCCCCCACCTGCCTCTTGTCCTTCAAGACTGAAAGTCCCCGAGAGGAAGGAGCACATGCCTCTTCTAAGAGAAGAAAAATATCAGTGTGCAAAGTAAGAACACTCCGCAACGCCCCGCGGCAGGGCACCGTCCCACGTCAGGGCCCAGCTCACCAGCATCTCCTGTGCTTTGCCGTCCTCCCTGGGGACTCTGTTGGTGGTGGCTCCCTTCTGCGAGCCCCCCCTAGCTCCTGGTACATGATCTTTCGGGGGCTTGCATCTTCTGTCCGCCTGGCCTCCAGATGACCCATCAGCATTCTGGTCGGGAGGCAGAGGGTCTCGGGGTTGCTTGGTGCACCTCTGCCGCTCCCGTAGGCGGGGGCCTCCGACCTCCCCGTCGCCCCGCTCCCTGCTGCGTGCTCAGTCCCCAGCCCCACAGTGGCCAAACGGAAGAACACCCCTGTGTCGGGAGGCCACGGGACAGAAGGGCCGAGCCGTTCACAGCGGCCCATCCTCAACAAGCACGGGAAGCGCTCCGACTCGTGGAGAATCCGCTCGAGCCCCGAGGGCTCTCCCCGCCAGCACTAGCTTGGCCTGGGCAGGAGGGTCGGGGGGACATGAGGAATCCTCCGTTCTGTCCTGGCCCACACAGGAGGACCCACACGCTCCAGCTGGGAGTCCGAGCTCGGATCCCCAGGAAGACACCTGGGGCTCAGGTCTGAGCCGCAGTGAGGGGGCCAAGGGCGCGCCCTCCCAGGAGAGCGGGCGCCAGGTCCCGGGGCGCAGGGCACACAGTGAGGCCAAGCCCTGGCTGCCTGCCCTGGCCTCCCTCTTAGCAGTGTGGCCTGGCCGGGTGGAGAGAGGGAGAGGCCGACTGCAGGAGGCCAGGGGCTCTCGCAGACGGCCCTGGGGACCTGGGCTCAGGAGGGCCTGCTCCAGGCAGCTCACAGCCAGCGCTCTGCTCCCGAGCACAGGGCCGCACACCTGCAGCCGGCGAGCAGCTGGGCACCGGCTGCCAGAGGCTGCCTCCTGCCAGAGGCCAGACGCCCCTGCAGGCCTGGGCTGGGAGTGTGGCTTCTCTGAAGGAGTGGCCCCTGTGTCCTGGGGGCCACGTGTGCCAGCCTCACCCCTGAGCCACCCAGCCAGGCTGAGCCACCTCACCAGTCCATGGGCACCGCCTCCCAGGACCGTATGCATCTCAGCCGTGTTCAGCAGCTGCCCCCCAGCCTGCCCAGTCCGCCATCTCCAAGTAACCAGAGCTCCCCGTGCATTCTCAACCGACACCCTGTCTTAAAGGGCCATGACCTCCCACAGCTGGGTGACTTTACCAGCTTACGTGATAACGAAATCTTTACAAACCTAAGGTTCAGAAAAGCTAGCTCCTTGTAGTGGGATGTATCCAGCCCCATGGAGAATTGGAGAGAGTCGAATTTCTCCTCCAAAATGACCAAAATACTTCTTAATACAGTAAGTACGCATCTATGTTTGCATATCTTAGGTATATTCCTAAAAAAAATATACCTTTCCTTTTGGTGTCAAATTATTGACTAGGAGAGATGTTCACGAGGAGAAAATAATCCATGGGAGCTTAACAGCCATGATGCCCACCCATCATTTCCCAGCTGCATGTCCCTGTGATTTCTGTGTAATGAGAGGAGGAAGGACAGGTGAGGGTCCATGCCGAGTGCCGAACGCTGGCCGTGGGTTACTATCAACAGCACTGCACGTGCAATAATCGAACAGAGGAGCCGTGTGCACACATGTGCGTCCTTCCTCAAGGGCTAGAGGGCACCGGGGCCAGAGTCTGGGACGGTGTTCCAGATGTGTCAGGGACTGAAGGTGCTACTGTGGAGCCCAGACGGGGCTTATTCTTGTTTCACTATCCCAAGTTCAAGTTTAGCCTGAGTCAGGAGAGGGCAAAGGCAGACAGCCCAGTGAGACAGCAGACAGCCCAGGAGGGCTCTCAGCATCTGATAGTCTCCAAATTGAGAGACGTGGCCATCTCGGGATGGAAGGTGGGATGCCGGACAGGCAGGCTGGGTGGCACCACAGGAAGGCGGGTGGGGCTCCCCTCAGCCTTGCTCCAGGCTCCCTCTGTGGACCCTGCCTTTCTGAACTGAGGGACACAGAGTTCCCTGGTGCTGTGTATGTGTGTGTTTGAACACCACTTTGCCTTTTGACCAACGACCCAGTCATTCTATACAGCAAAGCAGCAGAGTGCCCTTCCCCATGGCTGCCACAGGGCCAGCGTCCACTGAGCAGAAGTGCTCCAGAGGAACAGCGGGTCACAGGAGAGGAGGACCAGGCCGACCAGCGCCAGCTGCACTTGCTACAGTGGACAGGGGCAGCCCAGCGGTTCGCAGCAGACGGACCAGCAGAAACCCTGCTGCCTTCAGCCCACTCCAGGGCCTTGCTGGGAGCTTAAGAGACCCACAGAGTGGGGTTCAGGTTCCTCTGAGAAAAGGCTTGGTGGTGTGCTGAGCGCGGGCGCAGCCTCTCTCCTGGGGACCAGGGTGCAGCACCTGAGGTAGCAGAGTGCCCATCCCCAGAGACATCCCTGGGACCTGGGAACCTGTCACCTCATGTTGGGGAATTTGATGGTTGCGTCAAGGATTTTGAGATGAGATGTCATTCTGGAGTGTCAGGGTGACCCTGTGCAGTCACTAGGGTTGTGCAGGAGTGAAAAGGGACAGACTCACAGGGATGTGACAATGACAGCAGGTGTCAATAGGCAGAGGTGGAGGCCCTGAGCCTGTGTGGAGGCAGGAGGCCCCGTCGTGAGCCAAGGCCTCCAGAAGCTGGGAAAGGCAGCGCCCAGGTTGTCCCAGGTCCTGCCAGCTCCCGGTTCAGCCCGTGAGACACACATCAGAGCTCTGACCTAAGCGGGCGTGAGGTGGGTCTGTGCTCTGGGCCTCCAAACCCACGGTGAAAACACAGCACAGACGCTGTGAGGAGGCACGTCACTGGCCTCTTGCACACGGACCTGGCTCCTTAGTTCTGGCTGAGGGGCTGGAGCTCCTAGTGCCCAAGTCCTTCTGACTGGTGCCAGAACAGGCTCAAGGCCAGAGCCAGGAAGGACACACCCTGCTGTCCAGAGGAGAGATAGGTCCTGAGGAGGACCCCACCAGACAGTGAGGGAGCTGCAGCCATGGGTCCTCGTGCTCCTGCCTGGGGGGATGGGGAGATAAGGAGAAGGAGCCGGCAGGGGAGAGTGGAGGCCAGTCTCCCTCAGACTTGCCGACAACCAGAGCTGTAAACCACATGCCCACAGGCGGAGCTTTGGGAGCTGTGGGCTTGAAGCTGCCACTGGAGAGGTCGTGTGGACACAGAAGAGTCACGGGCAAGTCTGACAGCTGCAGGGAGGTGTAGGCCAGGGGCAGGAGGAGCGTCCAGGTAGGTCTGCAGGGAGCTGTAGGTCAGGGGCAGGAGGAGCACCCAGGTAGGTCTGCAGGAAGCTCTGGGTCAGGGGCAGGAGGAGCGTCCAGGTAGGTCTGCAGGAAGCTGTATGTCGGGGGCAGGAGGAGCGCCCAGGTAGGTCTGCAGGAAGCTGTATGTCGGGGGCAGGAGGAGCGCCCAGGTAGGTCTGCAGGGAGCTGTA